AACGGATGTGATTGCTGCATGCTTTGTTTGCAGCACCTTCACCAGCCAGGGGTTGAGTAGAAAGTAAACGGCGGTATTGTATGTATGTCTGTATGTACAAACGTAACGTGTACATAATGTAAATATGGATTGACAACGGTTTAACTGATGTTCTGAAGGCATATACGTGTAGAAGGGAGGGGTTGAGGGGGGGTCGTGGTGTACTTTGGGGGCTCCGTTGGTTCATGAGGGGGGTGGGGTGGTGGGGGCTCCGTGGGTCATTTTGGTCAAAAATGTCGCATTTCACCCAAGCACCAACAACTCATCGGATATCGACGAAGCTCGACGCCGCGGTCACGCCCAAAGTTGTTTCACTTTCCAAATCGTTTTCTTTCGAAAGATATCGCGAAAAACAAGATTGTGAATATTTGCCCGAACGGACCATACGTGCACGAAACGCAACATTGGTGGGCAGTGGAACCGAGTGGAACCGAAAAAAAAAAAATGTATCAAAGGTCTCACAGCAATGTGTATGTGTACATCATCCACAACATGTGACATACAGCAGCGGTAGGACACACGCACGGTGAGCAGCGGAATCAGCGTCGTCATGAATCCTAGACGACCACCCAGAGGACGACATCGTCGTGGAACATCGGCTTACATCAGGAGCACTCGTCAAGAGAGGACTCGGGAAAATAACCAGGTTCGGGAAATGCAGAGGAGGTGCGGTATCTTAGACGATTTACCAGACGACGTCCTCATTGTCGTGTAATACTGAGTAATTACTGAGTACTACCACATGTAATCTGATGAGAAGCTGCACGAACAGGATCGCGTCGCAGGCGAGGTCGCTGCTGTTCTTTCCGCTCTAGTCTACATTGTACACCACGGAGGTTCCATCATGCATGACCACCACTGAACTTATTTTATTATACTTTTTTTTTCTGTCCTATGCGCCAGTTGTTGATGTTTAGCATATTGTATAAAATTATCCACTGGTGTGCAGTAGCATACTTACAGAAGATTCGTAGACAATCATCAGCAATTATTGCAACAATGAGGAATGGACGTTTACTGTTCAGATACGAACAACGACGAAGAGTGGACGATATGGTTATCGATGACGATTACGTCCGCGGTGGTTCTAGCAGTGATGAAGTGGAGAGGATATTGTTCAGGGAGATCCCGACTGCGGCGATTGAGACAACAGAAGGCCAAGAAACGTGCAGAGATAGCGTAAATTTGATGACTCCTCTTCGCGCGGAAACTCTTCTGCACGAGCTGCAGGGCTTTCGTGACCACATGTTCGCGGGTAGCACGCGGTGAGTGTCAGTAAAGTAGTAAGACTGATATACTGAGGCAATATAATGACTTGTCGGCCTCGACGAGGGTGGTCGGTTAGAACGTGACATAATCCCCAAGTTTAGATCGAGCTCAATACTGCTGTACATCACACTTTTTAAGCTCACAGGTCTCCCTGTGCCGTATGCGATAGGCTGACTTTGGACGTCATCACGTGATTTCAGCAAGCAAGATTCCTAACAATCAACTGTTAAGGGCGGATGAAGCCCTTCGCAAGCATGAGAGGGTGATGGCNTATACTGAGGCAATATAATGACTTGTCGGCCTCGACGAGGGTGGTCGGTTAGAACGTGACATAATCCCCAAGTTTAGATCGAGCTCAATACTGCTGTACATCACACTTTTTTTGCTCACAGGTCTCCCTGTGCCGTGTGCGATAGGCTGACTTTGGTAAGACGTCATCACGTGATTTCAGCAAGGGAGATTCCTAACAAACAACTGTTAAGGGCGGATGAAGCCCTTCGCAAGCATGAGAGGGTAATGGCAACTTTTCGTGGTTATGCAGGCGACACGGAGCGAGAGTTAGATACCCTTGTCCTAAGTAAGTTCGGAATCGAGTCAGAGGAACCGTACAAGATACATGTATGCGACGAGTGTTACCGGTGGTTGGCGAGGAACAGGGTCGGTACCTTACCCGATGAACTGCAGAAGGCAACGTTCGTCGAGCGAGCCGCTGCGTATCCAATTCGCACAAAAGGTCACGTTGTAGCATTGGAATCCAGGCGTGTTAACAACATTCCTGGAACGGCAAAGAGGTCAATGCGAGGAACATCTGTGTTTTACGCAAACAACTCGAGCTCCGTCGCGACGGAGTTACCTTTGGCGGCGACTGGTCTGCTGGATATGATCACGGTGGTGCTAGCGGGGAAAAAGAAACCGAAAACTTCGGATCTTGGTCGTCTATTGGGCGCTCGTAAATCAATGATCAGGGACATAATCGACTACATGCTCGACAACGAAGAGAAACTTGTCGTCGGGTTTCCTCGGGCGAAATCTCTTCCTATCAGTGAGGAGAATATCGATTCGTATAGCGAGAATGGGGCTATCCCAAAGGTGCTGTTAAATTCAATTCTGACATCGAACGATCCATTGAATGTGCACGCAAGGGTGTCTTCTACCTACGCTCGAAGTAGCGACGAAATCGGGACTGAATGAGTCACGATTAGCGATGACAGCTCTTCTCCGACACGGTCAGCCCGAACTCCCCGAACACCTAAACGATGATGGTCATCNATGCACGCGTTTCCGGAAGGCTGTGGAGGTCCTTTGTGTCCTACGCGTAAAAGATCGGTATCATTTAACAGGTGGATCCAGATTCTGCTCAATCGGCGAGACAGCTCATGGAGGATTGATCGTTGCTTTTTGTTTTGCGCAGCTGCGATTCGTTTCAGACACGAAGCAATTGCAAATATGCGATTCAAGCTGTCGGTTCAACCTAATTCTGCCAATGCAGACGCAATCGCTTCTATTACCAAAGAGCATTTACATGCCATGGCAGAAGAACTCAAATCAGGGAAAAAAACCAGCGCGGCTTTTAACAACAGACCCGAGATAAGATCTCTTCTTCGGACGATGCAGGCAGTATCGGGAGACGCGACGTGGACAGACCACGGAAAGCACAGGGCGCGTACTACAGCACACTCCATGTCTATGCTGTTCGGACAGCCGTTCTTCTGGATGACGGTGAATCCTTCAGACCTGAACAGTCCCTTCGTCATGCATTACGGAGGTCACGACATCGACCTATCGTCGACATGCCATGAACAAATGCCAGATTTCAGAAAACGACTTGATATAATCGTGAACGATCCCGTGGCTTCAGCCATTTTTTTTCACGGAACTATCGAGGCGGTGCTGAAATATATTCTGAGGTTTCAGGCTAACTATGGCGATGGTGGGGCGCTAGGCAACATCAAAGCTTATATCGGCATGACCGAAGAGCAGCATCGTCTAATGCTTCACGGTCATCTCATGGTATGGGTGCATGGGTTCACGAGCCGGGAACAGTTGCGACAAGGCGTTGGGTACAGCCTGAAGAAGCACGCCGAACTAGCCAAGTGAGTCAATTTCGTGTTGTATACATTTATGTTTTGCACCATTCGCCTTCTATTTTTGGTACAATAATTCTTCAGGTGTTGATTCTGATTTTGTGTTTGAACAGGTACATCGGACGAATAATCTACAACCAGGTCATGTCCGTCGAGGAGGTAGAGTTCGGCCTCTTCAACCAATCCGAGCCAGTGTACAACAACGTTGTGCTCCCCAACGCGTCACCGTTTGATGAGGGGTTCGCTCAACAAAACCAGAGCTACGACGTCGACAGCGTTTCGGCAGAAGAATGGCCGGAGCCACTTCACANGGAGGAGTAGAGAGATTCGTAAACACCACGTCAGTAAGCACCGCTCGCGGGAGAAGGGAGAAAACCGCGGGCACAGTGGGGAGGGAGTGCTGCACCCTCCTCGTCAAAACACCACAGGCAAGAACCGAGCTCTGCAGAGATGGATTGATGCGAGAAAACTCGCCGCCCGGAAGATACGGGAGAAAGCACACCCGCAACGCGAGGTGGACCGAGAGTGGCACGAGACCGCAGCGGCCGTCAAGGTGGCTGGGAAGAAGAAGGCACGAGAGGGCGACCTATCGTTCGGCACGTTCAACGTATGCACGCTCGCCTACAGCGGTAGGAACCCCATCGGTCACAACGTGATGACCGTCATGCAGATTTGTTCCGCGACCGGCTGTGATGTGATAGGACTTCAGGAGACCCGACGAGAGGGGCAAGGTTCAATTGCACACGACGGGTACGTGATCATCTGGAGTGGCGCCCGTGCTGGCACCAAGGACAAGAGGGGCGTACACGGTGTGGGCATAGCGATCAAGGAGGCCATGTGGGAGAGTGTGGGCGAGGAAGGTAGGACGGTGGAGTGCATTAGCCCGAGGCTGATGAAGGTGCGTCTACAAATTGGCCGCACCTGCGGAGTAACTTTCGTGGTGAGGTACGCCCCCACGGAAACTGTCCGCACCACCGCGGGCGGTGATGTTAACGCCAAGGACTCCTTCTGGACTGCTCTCGACGCAGCGATCCGGGAGGTTCACAGCCGTGACCATCTCGTGGTGCTAATGGACGCCAACGCACGCACTGGTAGGAGGCGAGACGGGTGCTGCGATGCCAAGATTATGGGCGCGTACGGACGCGACATTATGAACAACAACGGGGAACGACTCCTTGGACTGGCGTCAGACAACCAACTCTCCCTGACCAACACCTACTTCCGGACACCGAAAGGTGGAGTGCAGCACACATTCCAGAGCTCCAACAAGGGAAAGGAGAAGTACCGCCTCGACTTCATCCTCATGCGTCAGGCGGACCGGCGTTTCGTGCGCAATGTCTCCGTCAAACGTGTCGACTTCAAAGACTCTGACCACAACCTCGTGCTTACGACTGTCCGCCTCCCCCCCCGTGTCGCACCCAACCGACGAGTTCGGGGGAACAGCGGAAGCAGCCGGATCCGTATCGACCTCGAGCGGTTGAGGAAGGACAAACACCTACGGGACGCCTTCCAAAACAGGGCCTCCAGCCGCCCTCCGCTCACGGCGCTCAGGCGGCCAACGGGAGAGCCCACCGCCGAGCTGACGGCTACGGTGATGTCGGCCGCTGCTGAGAGACCGCGCCGCTGGCGAGGTGCGCACAAGGGCGGAGAGGCTGGTACACGAGCGAACCGCAGCACGAGATCTCTGAAGCGTCGAAGGAGATTAAGGCGGCCCAGCAGCAACTGCGTGGGGCCTCAAAGAACAGCGCCTGCGAGGCGACCCTGAAGGCGATGCTCAAGGCGGCGCGGAAGAAGCGCAGCATCGCGAGGTGGAGAGCACTGGAAAA